GTCTTCAAGTGTTTAGTTCTCGAGATAAAGGGCGTTAAAGTTAAGAAATAATCTTAGTTGTTTCGCAATACCTCAAGGAAAATTGAATATAATGCATTGAATATATGGTTTCATCTTTGAATGGGTAATTTTTTCACCAGGCAGCCATTCCGGACATTTTATCCAGTTTTGCCCCACAGGGGGGTTCGGCAACTTTTCCTCCTATATTTTCTACGCCACCGACTAAATTTCAATTATTTCCAATTCCTCAAAAGCACACTGAGGGAAAAAAATTGTAGCCGTTACTAAAAAATTAGTAACTACAGAAGAATTTTTTAGTACGATAGGGGACAGCAAGCATTAGTTGTTGCCATAACTAATTCTGTTTTTCTGGAAACGCCTATTTGCCTCAAATGAAAAGTTTAGTTGAGTCATCTACGAAGTTGTTGTGGTAACTAATAAGCCTTTTTAAAGAATAATACCAAGTTTTATTTGCCACAATCAAGATACATAGTTATGACAATTAGATTGTTAGTACTGTTTCAATATACATATGAGTTGCATATTTGGATGCAACTTGATTGAGTTATTGATGATCAAAATCTACCAAAACATCGCATCTTCCATTCAAACTGTCCATTCATATTTTTTTGTATTGACATTGAACGATTTCAGTTCTATAATGAACAATATCATGACATTTCCATGGACCTTAAACAATATATTTATACGATACTTCAAAGCTTATTTTGTTCAACTTACATTAGATGATATGAAACAAGTGAACGTTCATAAAGCGGTCATAAAGCGGTAGTTTGGTAAACTTTGATCATCAATAGCTCAACTATTTTTCATCCGAAAATGCCACTCATAATTATTTTTGAAATCAGAAAAAAAGGTTCCATCGACATGTCGTAAATTATATAGGGTGTCCTATTGAAAAAATCAATGTTAACGTCCTTTCCGGAAAAATAATCACCCTGTATATGAAAGAACTGCACGAAATATAAGTTTGGGTCCTTTCAAACAACTTCTTTATTCAACATTCCTCCATATCTCTGAAAACAAAAGAGTTAAGGGGGGTTCCATTTCAAGAGGCGCACCCTGTACGAGTATTTCACCTGATGAAGCTACTGTGTTACCGAAACATGTCGTGTGATTAATATTTGTGTGGAAATCTTATCGTTTGTGAAGGTTCTTACATCTACTATGGATTTTCATCAAGAAAGGGCAGAGTCAATTCAAAAAAACAATAAGCAGATAATAACTGTCCTGTAATCTTGTTAAATAATTTCAAATCACAAGCCTACACATAATACGATTTTCATTCCACATGACCTACACTCTATTATTAAAACCAATGATTTGAATACCAAATGAGATTTCCTACGACATGACAGATATGGAAGTGCGAATAATTTTTTTATTAAACAGAATATTGCAATGTTTTTCTCATTTCGTTTGTCACTCGAATGACTTATAGATCATGAATTCGTCAAGCTTCTTGATTCATCTAACAAATGACGTTCATGTATTAAGTTTTTTCATTTCACTTGGAAAAGGAGCAGCAATAATATATATAATATTAGTATAGATGAACTCAGTTCATTGTATGAGTATTTCACCTGAAGAAGCTATACTGTGTATAAGCGAAACATGTCATGTGATCAAGAATGTTTAGGAAATCTTATCGTTTGTGACGTTTTTCACATCGGGGCATTAGACGATGCATCTGGAGTCCATTTTATATTTAAGTGTATTTTTCCTTTCTAAACTTAGACTTAGATTATTCACGTAGAATTTACGATTCTTCTTGGAGTTCCTCTTATTCACCTCGACTAATGAAATTCTCAAAGGTGTTTGATCATTAAACGACGTGACTATTTTGGATTAATCACGAAATCAATCTCTATGAGCCACTTTACAATTTCCAATATTTCATTGCATGCAATTGGTTTTTGCTGCAATCCATATTTCCGGCAATAATAATATGCAGGCTATATTACATTGAATCGAAATGACCGACTTGCAATATCGTTTTGTCAAAAACTGTGTTTTGCTCCTCATTAAGTTTCTGATGCTTGAATAATGCATGGAATAGATACTTACCGAAAATGCGATTTTTTGGGAAATTGCAAAATGTTAAGGGCCTCCATAACAGTAAGTGATGTATATTGGTTGCTAACCACAACTGAATGGTTGGTAAATCACTGTCCGTTCAGAGTACGTATATTTATTACATCAATCGTATTTCGTTGTTCAGAAATATCAAAATATGATTAGCTCAGTTTAGTTCTGAGCTTCGTGATAGTAGTAAAATCATTCTTTAAAATTTTGGTGAAGGCACTTATTATGTTTCTCTTAGTTTAGATTTTGGAGATTTCCTCTCCTAGTATCTATAAACGAAAATATTAATATTATTTAAATATATTTATAGTAATTTGCCACAAATTGTCACTGCGCTCAAAATTTCCCTATTAGAAAACAAAGAGAAAAGTTTTGACAGTTCGAAAAATGTCTGAGGAAAAAGAGAATAGGTATGATGGTTGTATTGAGGAAACATAGAATTTCACTGATCTTTAGATTTCTTGGGAACGAGTTTGCTACCGTTTTCAATATATAAGAATGGAAAATAGTTCTCTAGAATACATTTTTCGTCCTTCAACACTTATCAGAAAAATGTGTGTGGTACAGCGTGTTTTTTCTAACTGATCTCGAATTAATCATTTCCATACTCATATTTTAGGAGTGCATATCATTTCGCTGCTATGTTAGAATTCTCATAAAAAATAGTTTTAAAGTCTCTCCAAACAGGGTGTTATTCAAGTATGTAGCCAAACTTCAAGGGACGATTATTTCAGTGGTTCTAAGACGAAAAGTTCAAATGACCGTAGCTCCGAAAATGCATAATTTTCAAGATATACAGTGTCAAACTTTTTTTGAAAATAGGTTTCTCGTAAATCTAGTAATGGCTTAATTAGTACCTCACTACTGCAAATAACACTGCAAAATTTCGACAGAATTGGATCAGAGATTTTTGCGATATTAATGACAAAGTTATTTTTTATTCAAATATTGAAAATGGTGTATTTCCGGACCCATCTTCACATGCTCTTTTCGGCTTGGAATCACTCGAAAAATCAACTCTTTAGGTTTGACCTTCCTCGTTTTTCATCATTATGAAGAATCTGGTGTCAATGTAAAGGGATCCAAAATTTCAGGGAATCGTGGAGTGTTGCTATTTTAGAAGTAATCATTTAGTCGAAATTTCATGATTAGTCATTCGCCTAGTGGGTGATGCCACACCCACACTCACTAACACCGTAAGAAGGTCGGCGACCTTTTAGTTTTCTATAGATAATTCCACTGGAAATGTTCTTTAGAAACTTCTGCTATCATTCCACGACTAGCAACAACTCGACAAGCGCAGTCAGCACATCCTTTCGTAGTGAAACTGGAAATATATATCAGAACTCGTTTCTCCATAGAACGAGAAAGCTCTGGAATTTATTGCCTCAGGAAGTACTTCCAAAAACTTATGATCTCCTATATCCCCCTAGGTGCGCACGATGTTTTTCGAACATTTTAGGGAATCCCTTTCGTGCGCACCAAGCGATGAAAAAAAAGGTACGCTTTCCAAAAAATCCAGTTCTTCCAAAATTTCCAAAAAATATAAGATGAAAACCGAATTTCTGATCAGATTTTTATTATGCGTTTTTTAAGCATTGCAGAAGGCACAAAATGTTAAAAAAGTATCGGTAGCAACGTTGCAAAAATCTTCAATGTGAAATGAACATGTTTCTTGATTATTTTTGGCTTGCGAGTTTGATACCATTATTTCCATTGGACTGATTGAAACTGAATATTCTATATTGGAAAATTCAGTTTATGTTAAAACCTCGGTCTCATATAAAGAAATAAGTTGTATATACCTATAGTCTATAATATATGTATATAGGTTAGGTCTAGTTGACAAAAAAAATCAAGAGAATAATGTCATTATTAGAATAACAATTTAGTCGAAATTTTATGAGAATTTGTGGAGAAGAGGAATGATGTGTGATCCAAAAAATCCAACTTTTTTCAAAATTCAAGTAACGACTTATTCAATTCAAAGAATCTCATGAAATGTTGTTATGATTAGTCTAATTATTTAGTCGAAATTTCATCATAACAATTTGTGAAAGATTATCTGAATGTGTATAATCCAGCTTTTTCAAAATATTCTTGAATGCAAACCAGAATTGGAACTCTCACGTGTCATCACTGCGGAATAAACATTTTTTTCGATGTACATTATATATTAGAAAATTGAGTGATTCAGCTGTTTGTCATATAATCTGGGAGTAGTAGAGCTATTCAAAATTTTCAAAGAATCATATAAAATGATTGTATGGTTTGCATCGGTTTGCATGCATGGGCCTTGAATATTTAGTCGAAAATTTTTACGAATTATTTAGTCGAAATTTCATTATAAAAAATTGTGAAAGATTATCGGAATGTGTATGATCCAGCTATTTCAAAATATTCTTGAATGAGAACCAGAATTGGAACTCTCATGTATCATCACTGCGGAATGAACTTTTTTTTCAATGTATATTATTTATTAGAAAATTGAGTGATTCCGCTGTTTATCATCTGGGAGTAGTAGAGCTATTCAGAAATTTCAAAGAATCCTATGAAATGATTTTATGATTTGGGCCTTGAATATTTAGTCGAAAATTCGTAAGAATTCTTTAAAACAATTTGAGATGTGTAATCCAACACATCCAGTTTTTTTCAAGATTCCAAAATAAAATTCTCAGATAAGATCCAGAATTTTGATAAAATGTATTGATGTGATTTTAATCAAGTACGTACCTAACGGCCCAGTCAATGAAAAAAAACATAGTATTTTGTTATATGATAAGAGTATTTTATATGTGTGATGTGTTTATCCAGTATTTCCAAAATTTTCGTAGATGAGAAACATAATTTTGGTCAGTTCTTGTGTGCAGGTTTGATCAGCAAAATACACTTACATGTAACGATGATTCCGATGAAAACGAAAATTTGACAAAAAATATCGGGACCCATGTCGCAAAAATCAGAGCACTACGAGATGGACATTGAACACAAAAAGCACGCGCGAGGCAAACTTGCTTAGATCTTCTGAATGCCGAGCAGTGTATGCAACTGATGAACTGATGCTGGATTCTCCCATCACAGTGTCTAGCAACTCCCGGAGATCATCCGTAGTAGAAGACGTGGGGAACCGTTTGCTTTCCATCACTTCTCCACAAAGGCGCTGAACTGACAACGCTAAAAATAGCGATATGTATAACAAGGGATGAAAGTTCTACATTTTCTCCCGAGGATGAAGTTTACTCGACGTGTACCGGAGGGCAGTATTCATTCAAGGGAGAGGAGAAGCACTCTACCCCCATGTTATGCATCTGTTCGATACATCAATAAGGTACTTTGTATGTCATCAATTTTATTTCCGTATCTGATATCACAATGACTCCATTTTGTGTTATTATTTCAAGAAAATCTCATCGCTAATGGAATGTCAAATTTCAAGAAATAACAGCTCTGTCTAATAGATGAGCATTACTTGACAGAAAATCAGATGGCTACAAGACGAAGAAATTGAAAATGCTGCTGTTATCTATTATAGCCGTAGGAAAACTATAGTGTATAACTTGCACGGAATGCTAATTTCCTAGTCGAATGATCGCAGCATTCGCCTATGGCTCATCCTGCAAACTTCATTTTCGTAGGAAATCACTGTCATTCCGTGCTAGTTGAACAATATACTATTTCTGCACGCTCGTAGGGAAAACTAGAAACAAGGTACAGCAGAGGCGGACTGGAGGCCGGGCGGTCGGGCGGTCGGGCGGTCGGGCGATCTCCCGATGGCCCGGTGCCCTTTGGGGCCGGTATAAATGTTGAAAGAATATAAAATATATACATAGATACCGCAAAGAAAGCTACATCAAACGTTCTGTGCGATGCAAAGAGAAGCATTAATAAATACTAGAAAATCACGATTCAGTCAAGATTTACTGATGATCAAATAATATTAACTGAAAATTCAATCAGGAAGGATTATGAAAAGGTCAAAAATTATTATCCTGCTGATGAAATGAGCCTTGACAGTTTGCAAATGGAACTGATAGATTTTGCCTCGAAGTTGGAAAGACTGTCGAGTATATACTTTATTGGAAGATACGATGGATGGTGGAACTTATGTCTTCGATGTAGAAGAGGAATTAATTTCATCACAGCACAAGTTCTGCAAAAAATGTTTATTTTGTCGCTACCATGTTTCGCACAGATACAATTTATACGTCGAGGCCTATCCAAATTTAAAGAAAATTCATAAATATATTCTTACTCCTTCAGTATCGCAGGTATCGTGTGAAATAGCTTTCTCAAAATAAAAATTCATTTTGAATAGGCTATAATAAATTCTCTATGCCAAGAAAATTTAGAGGCTTCCATGATCATGAGGTGTGAAAAAGACATTCTATATCAATAGGAAAGCAACAATATCATTTTCAACTCAAATGTGATGGATCAATAAGAGATCCACCTTTTCGGTTATTTATTTCAATTTCTAATGCGGCTAATGTTTTAATTTTTGTATTGGATAAATAAATTTCCTATAGTCTTTCTGTAGCTTTAATATTATTCACCAAGGTTCTTTATGTTCATCTACCATAGAAATATAGCTTATATTATTTATTTTTATTTTTCATGCATAGAATGTTATTTATATTATTTATTTCATTTTTCTTCAGTATATTTGATGTTTCATCGACAGTTTTTTTGTTTGACTTTTATTATAATGAAAACTATTTGTAATAATTTTTTTTCGCTTCTGTTCGTATATGTTACCAAAATATTTGATAAAATTATATAAATAGCTATATTAGCTTTGAAATTTTCTCCGGAGGTGGGACGGTAAGGTTTAATTCGCCCGGGCCGATTCAAAGGTCCAGTCCGCCCCTGAGGTACAGTATAACTCATAGACACGATATTTTCATTCTTGCCAAATTCTTAATTTTTGGTAGAAAGTAGGGTAATTGGAACAGGTACAGGATGATGAGAATTCTGAATCATAAATCACCTGTATCTATTCCCATTAAATGTCAGTAGATGGCAACCAAATGACGAATGGTTTTACGTCACTCCCAGCGAGCACAAACATCCCTGGGATGTTTTGGGATGTTTTGAAAGTGTTGGCATGAAGATGTTATTTTGAGACGTAATATGCACTGACCAAAGAGGTCTTTGAAGGATATTAAAGTATTGTTTTTGTTCTTCTGTGGCATTTCTTTGTTTGCCTACTGAGAGGTATCCCTGGGATGTTTTGGGATGTTTTAGAAATGTAGGCATGAGGATGTTTTTTTGAGGCGTAATATGCACTTCCCAAAGAGGTCTTAGGAGGATATTGAAAGTATTGTTTTTGTTCTTTTGTTCCCTTTCTTTTGTTTGCCCCACCACAACGTCTCATGCTTACGTCACAATACGATGAATTCTGATTTGTTTTCGATTTTCTTCTCCTTGTTCGCAATTGGCATTCGCGTTTGCAGCGTGTCACGCTTACATCACGCTGCTAACGAACAGACAGGAATTTGGTGAAGTTTATTGTGTTAGAAGACTTATTAAGTTTGTAATAATGACCATCAGATGCAAGATGTGTTGTTCGGTGCCTCAGTGTAATCAATATATAAAAGTACGAATTCATCAATACACAGCTTCTCCGCAGTTGCAAAATTATGCATTGTGGAGAACATTCCAAAAATTGGGAAACCTATTTCCAATGATATGTCTGTGTGTAGTAAGCACTACTCAGAAACCGATTAAGAAGGTAATTTCATATCAAGAAAATATTTTTATGTTCAATTTATTTTTAATGCATTTTTTCACTCAAGGGAAATGGAATCCTAATGCAAAAGTTCATTTTGACAAAAGGCTTCAGAAAAGTACCTCAAAAATGTTTTTTTACAGCGATTTAATGTGCGCAAGACGCGTCGAAAATGTTCTGTTGTGTCCATGAAAAGGCTTTAAAAAGAACTAGGGAGAAGGTAGTTTTGTGACATATCAAGGACATCTCGATAATTGCCGCCTGCGGCGGACATTGGCTGTTCTATAATAGTTTAATTCATGTGTGAACAGAACATCGCAGTGGAGGTTCAATGTCTCGAAATCTCGTACTTTTAACATCTCTGAGATGTTTTTGTGCTCGCTGGGCTGTGATTCGGCTGTGATGTACCCAATTGATGATTTTTCGTCAGAGACGTCACAAACCAAATTCTGTGACGTCACTATGAAGTCCTTTCTATGACGTGATTCGCGATAGAAAAAAACACGTCGCCCCACCTGACGGCAGCAACTTGAACACTTCTGAGCGGTTTGTTTTGATGATACGACCAATAAGCACAAACAAAAAACAAATGACAACCAATGAAAACAAAGTGAACATGCCGCTTTGACAGCTTTCAAGAACTCCGATAGGTGGCGTATGCTTATTTTCTATCGCGAATAATCACGTCTCCATTATGACGTTGAGTAACGTCAAATGAAATATCACTGACAAACCTTTCAAATTGATAATATTTTTCTGTGATGGAAAAAAAGTTTGACACTTCATCTCTGTTGACAGGTTATATGAAATGTGTTATAAAATCCGGGAAAAATGTGGCTACCCACTGAGCAAGGAACATCCCGGGGTTGTTTGGTAACGTTAATTTCTTGTACCTTTGGTGACCTTTTTGAGATTACATCTTTTATAAGTGATAATAACATATTTCTGGGACGTTTTAATTCGTCTCTTATTTGGGCTGACTCTGCTACATCCCCAGATACACATCGCTGTTTCGTAACAGTAAACTGACCTATGCACGTCTATGTGATCTTATTTGAGTCAATATTCCAACGCCTTCTCCAAAGTATTCTTATTTCATCCACAGAACATTTTATGTGACGTACTTTTATCATTTTCCGTGGGACTATTATCACGAACTTGATTCGAATCAGACACGTATCTTTCTCACTTTGTGCTATTTTGCTAATATTCGCCATTTTGAGAGATGATGCTGTCGGGGTTATGACGGACGGCGTGGTTTGTGTTGTGTTGTGTTTGATGTGTCTCACAATAAAGTGTGAATTTTGACTTTTGAGGTAGACTAATAGTCAAGAAAATCAAGTGGAAGTGCGTTTTTTGGAAAACATGGTGAGATAGGTGAGTTGAATTACCAAAATCATAATTTTCTGATTATATATCAGCACACAGTTGTCTGATTCATAATGGCTTCAGTCATAATTTATTGTCGGGTATCTTCCTCAGTGAATATATAATTATGTGATAAATATAACTACAAGCACACAAGTCCTCTATTATTGTTCCTCTCTTTGTTTCAAATGAACTCAGAATATTATTTGATTTTTGGGGTTAGGTCATACGCAATATAAAAAAATGTATCACCAAATAGCTATATAGGTATATCAGTGACCAACAGGCTCCCTCAAAATAGTTTGATTCATGTCATTCACGGAAGCTTTCATTGGAATATATCAATGTCTACAAGTACTACATTGTTTACAGGTCAGTACTTATGAAGTTTCCTCGGAACCTGATAGATACCTACATTACTAGAACATGCGTGAGCTCTGGACAAACCTACCCTGCTCTGACCTACTTTAGTAGAAATGATGGAATACACATCTGCTGTTTGCCTGGGAAGTTCAGGTATGAAAAAGTGAAATGCATATAGTAGGTAATGTAAATTTATTACTTAGGTATGGTATATATTTCAGAATCCAAGTATCTGGGATTTCATTCAATCAAAAATAGAGGAATTCATGGGACACAAGAATTAGTAAGTCCTTTATTCTTGAAAGGCGTATGAAAAAATGATGACAACATGAAAATCAACTCTTACATTGGGCTAGAACACTCTAAAATCCACCCACTGCCACAGAGGAGGGTGAAAGTTTCGAGAATCAAGAACACACCATCAGAAAGGGAACTAATCGAGGCAGAATCAAGGTAGGATGATATGAATATTTGATGCTGATATTGTGTATAACAATTGTTGTTGTTTCAGGTGCATTTCATGAAATCCTCAGCCTTGAAATAGATTCGCCCATAGAATCATAAAACTGAACTAACTGAAGTGACATACGTGGAAGGATATAATTATAGTCAATCAAATATCCATTTATTTCCAATTGTACTTCTACCTTACATACATTGATTGAATACATTTCTGAATTTATTTTTCTCCTCTGATAAGTGGGTATTCAGCAATGGAGCTGACTATAGTAAATATCAGGGTGATCCAACATAAATGTTCCCTCTTGTAAATTTAGTCATTTCTGGACCGATCGCAGAATTCAAAAACTATTTGGTATATTTTTTAGCCAGAAAATGTATACTGGGTGTTTCAAAATATATGGGACGCACATCAAGATGTGATAGGGCAGCTCAAAACAATAATAAATGATCCTTCAAAGAATTGACCAGAACTCTTTTGTTTTCAAGTTGTTAAAAATACCTACCATTTTTTATTCCTTCCGATACCTACATTTGAGATGATTGAACCAAGTTTGCTTCATTATACCTATTTATCGTTCTCTGTAGTGGGAGAAATGAGAGGACGCGTCCCACATATTATGAAAAACCCAGTGTGATAAAATCTAGCTATGTGATTATACCAGTATTAGTTTTCAGAACTCACGAATATTGATCTAGAAATAACCAAGTTACAAGGGTGAACATTTTTGGAGTATCACCCTGTATATTTCGAAAGATCCTAGTAATGTTACAAGAGAGTCAACAATAATGAAACAGTTATGTTATGAAATCGTCCAGGGATATGTACTTTTTACATTCCGAAATGAAGACATGGTACGTAAATGCGTTATCGCAAATACTATTTGAGAATGTACTTCCACTGTAACAAAGCTGTTTCATGACACGTATCAGTTTCGACTCTTACTCAACGTTCTTGCGACGTCCTGCGATATTGTACTGTTGGTGGACATATAACGACGACTCTAAGATAATCTTTAAGATGTCAATAGCACCAAATTCACAACGTAACAACGTATCTTGGTTACAATGAAATAACGTTAATAGTATGAGTTTTTGCACAGTGGGTACTTTTTTCCCGGATTTATGTATACACTGTTGATGGCTTTTGTTGTGCTAGTTCCGAATAACAGTCGTCTCCGAGAAAGAACTGCAAGTCCTTTTAGCTTCCATTCGACTTCGCGGTTTCGTACGCAACGCAGGTGTAATTCCTGTTAAAAACTTCAAATTTTATGTCGAAAAAAAGAACTCTGATAATGATGGAAAAAGGCATATATCTACTAGTAGATATATGGAAATAGGTAGATGGTGCGCGTAGTCGGCCATTGTTACGTATTGAAAACTTAAGAAAAATCACTAGATCGCCTATTATGATTTCTCTACGTCACATCGAGCGAGACGTTGATTCCACATTTTCCCGCTAAATGGTGATGCTGATGCTTTTGCTGCTGTGACGAGTGGAAATAAAATGGCAAATGACATTTTAGGTACGCGGAACATATGTAACAATGGGATTATTTAACTCTGAATTCGAAAATTCTGCGGCAATTTAAAAATTGGCCGATGTCATGGTTGCGCAATGTCGCCATCTATCCGAAAACAGCTAAAACATTATTCATGGGACTCTCATATGAGTCATGAGGTCGAGAAGAATTTCTGAAACAAAAAGCGCATCAGTCAGTACACCTACACTATCTACTCATTTCCATCATTACTTTGATTAGAGATAAGTTTGATGCAGGAGACAGGAACGACTCAAATTAGAACAGAAGAATGATGGAAATGAGTAGATGGTGCGTGTACTCGGCCACATAAGAAAAATCATTCGACCACTTACTATGATTTTTCTACGTCACATCGTGCAAAACGTTGAATCTACTTTTTTCCTGCCAGATGTGTAGTAAAAAGAAAAGGAAAATGGCATTTTCGGTTCGCGGAACATGTCAGACTCAGTAAGTACACCATCTACTTATTCCCATCATTAACAGAAGCATGGTAATACAAACTAAGAGCTAAGATACTAAGAAGTAAGAAGAAGATTTATTTGAGGATTTGAGTTTGAGGTTATATGTGGTTATGTCAATTGTTTTGAGAGTTTCAAATTTCCAATTTTTTTTATTATAGAATGTCTTTAAAGGTTTGTTCTCGACTTGTTCCCGTCGTTTCAAACTCAGTCTCAGCACTCTCAGTACCACGTTATTCGTTTTGTCGCCTATTATCAGCAAACCGGTTAGTCACCCCTTCAGTAGGACTAGTTCACATATCAAGTTGCAAGTATTCTACGAAACCCTCAACGGCCCCAACTAAACCACATATTAAGGAAGTTTATTATGGGGTCTTAACACCACAAATCAAAGCAGTGAAGGTGAATCAACAAGCATTTTTGTTTATATTTCTTACATTTTTTTGTTCCAGATATTTTCCCTTACTTCCAGTATAGTTGGTTTAATAGCACAACCATTTTTATATAGTGAAATAGCATCGACTGGAAATATTCCCATTATTCTTGCTGCATATTCATTCATTGGGTTCTTCACTGTTTTAACACCCATTCTCTTACATCTTGTGACCAAGAAATATATTACTCATTTGATTTATAAAGAAGATACAAATAGTTATGTAGCAACTACTGTTAATTTTTTCTGTTTATCTAAAGAGGTAATTATATGTTACATATAGGAATCAGTGTTTTATAATTCAGTATTTGATTTTCAGATTGAATTCAAATCTGATGATGTTAAAGTCCCATCTGTACCAGGTATGTTCACCTCTTTCACAGCTAATGGAAAATCTCTCTTTCTGGATCCCAGATTATTTGAACATCCTGAACATTATGCAAAAATCATGGGCTATGATAAACCTTTGGACTTCAAATTGTATGAAGATTCTGAGAGTAATGTTAAAAAGAATTAGGTACTTCTAGAAATTAGTCATTAGGTTATTTGTTAATTAAAATTGTTATTTAACCAATGTTCATTAATCTTCTTTCAGTGTATCTTCATTTGTATTGGTCTGTGGGAGAACCCCTATAAACTTATTTGTCACATATAATTTCACAAAAATCATATTTTTCATTTGTTGGTTTTTCAACATAAAGATTTTGAATCTTGAGAAGAGACCCTGGGGGTCTCCAGAGGAAATAATCATTTTTGAAAGCCTAAATTACTATACGAATGATCACGGCTGCATCTATTAGTAAGTTTACATTGGAATAATATAATATGCTAAAATCCTATTCCTGGTTTACATTCGAATAGGTTTCGACGTACTTATATGTACGTTGTACGTATGCGTACCTATAATATGCCAATGCCTATCCGCACGTTTACGTACGAATATACGTACATATGGCTGGCAGTACCTATACGTACGCGTAGTGTATTGTTTGCCTATCCGTACGTTTACGTACGAATATGACTGGCAGTAACAATAGACTTTGGGCTTGGGCAGTAACTACGTGTAGTGTATTTTTTTGGAAGTGTCTATTCGCACGCAGTGCGTGCATACGTACGAATACGTACAAATAGCGATAAGGCACTTTATCCGTCCGTTTACGTGCGAATAACCACCAAACATGCTATCCGTACGTAAATCGACAACTTTATTTGCGTACGGATAGGCTTTTCCATATCTATCCGCACGTATACGTACGGATAGGCTTTGACATATTATACGTACGTATACTTACGAATAGATATGCAAAAGCCTATTTGTACGTATACGTACGTATAATAGAGAGTTGAAGTGTTGTCGTTAACGTAAACGTAAAAATTGACAGCTACGCATGCGCATTTTCCAATTCTTCACGTTTGCGTTGTTAGTGGGCTTACGGGTGTACGTTATCTCACGTACCTTCACGTATACCTTAAATATCAACGTACGTTAACCAAACTATACTCGAAATATGCCGATCAGCCGATGACTCAAAATTATCAAATTTGGGATCCCCAACGAGTTCTGCATCAAGGAGTCCTCTCATTTTGACAGGAATAAATGTTCGAATCTAAACACACAACCAAAATTGACCAATACAAACCGAAAACAAAATGTATTATTACGATATGATGACAGTGACGACTTCAACGTGGAGGTCTACGTACAGTGATTACTTCAACTCTCTATTATGTCAAAGCCTATCCGTACGTATACGTATGTATGAATATGCCAAAGCCTATCCGTACGTCTACATCCCTATGTGTGCATTGCATGCGGATAGGGTGAAGATACTTTATCCGTACGCCCACGTGCAAATAATTTCCATGAATGCTCATGGTACGTAACGGCAGCGTTTGTAAAATATTAATTACTGTGATCAATCACGTATATTTGATGCATGTAATCATATCAAATTCAATTTTGAAGACGTACAACATAATGATAAAAATGTTCAAACACATGCAATATGAAAATAAGTTATATCACAATGTGTTAGGCACAGATGAAAATGTGCTAGAAAAATAGGAAGATGTTCCTACATTTATTCAGATCAATGTGATCGGGAGAACAATCGATCAAATTCGGATTGCCATGATGCTTCCATATCTTTACAAAAACTCCTGATATACGAGTGAGAGAAATAACACCTGATATAAAAGTGAACCTTATATCGTATACGTACGTATAGGTACTGCCAGCCATATTCGTACGTAAACGTGCGGATAGGCATGGGCATATTATACGTACGCATACGTACATATAGGTACGTCGAAACCGAAACCTATTCGAACGTAAACGTGCGAATAGAATTTTAGCATTTTATTCGTACGTAAACTTACTGATAGATGCAGCCGGGAAAGCCTATCCGTACGCAAATATAGTTGTCAATTTACGTACGGATAGCATTCTTGGTGGTTATTCGCTCGTAAACGTACGGATTAAGTGCCTTATCACTATTTGTACGTATTCGTACGTATGCACGCACTGCGTGCGAATAGACACTTCCAATGATCACAGTGGGCTGATGCCATGCTATTAGTGGACCAGAATTACAACTCTCTGATAAAATTCAGCCTCCCCCCAAGAATAATCATCAGAAACCACAAATCTAAACATATCACATGATGGGAATGGTTCGAAAGATTTAGACACTTCTCCATAAAGTGAATTCCATTCTGTATTCGTATTGAAAACTTTTCAACCATCCACTATTATACCTTCCCCTGATAACAAATTTATCTTACTTCAATCTTTTTTTCATATTTTTCCATTATGAACTTGTTATGTGAACATCTTAGTGGCAAACTTACCGCCTACCGGATCTGGTGAAATTGGCAGTTGGCACCGCAAGGCGTAAGGAGTTAGAAAACCGAACAGAAGAAGAAGAAGAAGAAGAATTTTTGATTTAAATTATTGTTGATTTTGGATTCAAAACCAAGTTCCAACGGCTTTTCTCGTTCAGGTTGTTCAGCTAATGTTAAAAACTTCAATTGAAATCCTAGTTTGTCATTTTTAGGTGTCTGATTTTTATGATTCAAATAATTAATCAGAAAAATCTTATTTGTCAAATAGTTGCTATTGAAGGAAATAGAATATGGAAAATAAAAAGAATAACAGTCAACCACATTCAAAATCTGACAAGAATAATGTACCCTCTGAAAATAGACCAATTCCAACTCCAGAAGATTCAAAGAAGTACAAGTTTTATAGAAAACCATCACTTAAGAAAAAAGGTCCAGAGGTGAAGCAGACAAAGACTAGTCTACGGAGATTGCTACAAGCTAATCCTCTCTTACAATATGAAATGGAAGGCAGTGGTGATGGCAAAAAAGTCAGCCTTGAAGTCAACAGACAAAACTCCATAGAAATTGATATCAAAAATGAACCAATGCAGAAGCAGGGAACCAAAACTACTAATCTGAAAAGATCAACTTCTTTGAAAAATCCTGCTCCACACCAATTTCCTTTTTTGTCTAAACCAAGAGTCAGTACCATACTGGCTAGTAATGGACCCAATGAAAATTCAACACAATCAAGTAAGAATGCTAGAGTACATGTGGGATTTAGTAGCTCAACTCCTAGAATATTGACAACCAATGGGCTTGGAGCTTCTATAAGTAAATCAGACCCCTTCAAAGTGCCTGCCCAAATTGATGGTTCAAGATCTAAACCCATTGTGAAGCAACCACCAGTAGAGGCAACTGAGACAACTACAAGAAGATCCATAAATCATTGCAAGCCTATAAGGAGATCCCTGTCAGCTCAACATTTTGATAGAAAGAAAGGTGATACCAACTACATTATTCCATAGGTATGGTTTCATATCAGACTTCTGAATTTTCTTCCAGGAAAATCAAATAAAATTGCAGTAGGAATTATCTCTGAGGATATTAAGAAAACACAATCTTCTGAGGATGTTTCCATACCTATACAAGGCCCTTATTCAGGCCATGAAGTTTCTCCAATAACTGAAGTTAGCAATGAAAACATGATGGTTTTTAAAACTCCTTCTGCACATGAAAGACGTAGCATTTGTCAGTTTACTCCCAGGTCAACTAATATCAGTAGAAGGTAATAATATTTTTGGATGTATGATAAATTGATATTCATCATACAGGACATGGAAAGAAATTCTGAATTGAGAAAAAACCTATTCACAAATCTGCTATTGAGGTCTATAAAAATAAGTTACCATTGTTCAAGTTTGAACCCCTTGATTGGGTGAAAGTATTAAAAAGTAATATTCTCAAATATAATTATGAACATCTCAGTGTATTTCTTTATATATATTTATCCATTTCTTTATGATGTTCATAATTATATCTGAGAAAATTCCTTTTCAGTAATAATATTGATTAATTATTAAGAAATCATATATCAGTGCCATATAAGACAGTTCAAGCATTCATATACTTAATTTATGTATTGCTTTGATTGACACAGCAAAAGCATTTTGTTCATATATGTATTCATTTAAAATATTAGTCTCCAAGTGATGTGGCTTAGCAGAAATCTTCCAATGTTCAATTCAATTATACTGAAGAAAAAGAACCATATCCAGACACATCTACAAGATAAAGGAATTCAATATTTTTCATGTATTTTGTCTGTCCACATTTTTAAACAATAGTTCTTTATGAAAATCCTTGGGATCATGTGTTTCAGTTCAATATCAATATCATTGAAAGCTAGATAGATAATCTTCATTTGTTCTATGAAATTGAAGCCTAAAATAGGCCTTATCAAGATATAACAAGGGCTAAACTGCAGTCAACATTGTGTACACAAAACTTCAACTTCACAGGTAATTGGCCGGTGGACTAATTTTTTTTATTTCTCAAATAGAATCATCACGCAAATACCTTTCAATTTCATGTTTAATATTTTTCAGTAGATGCTAAAATCATCAATAATGGCATGATAATTTTCAAAGGGATAGACATTTACCACCAGTAAAAACTGACATCATGACCATAGCACAGTTGCCATGTGTTTGAATGCCATTGGGAACAGTGTTGCCAACTCATCATTCACAAAATCCTCACTTTTAGTCAGAAAATCCTCACAAACATATTTTACAATTAATTTATTTATTCATATCCATATAAGTTATAAATATGTGTATATATATCCATCTACCGGAGAGCTTGGTCTGCTTGGTACACTTTCAGAATCCATTTATTTTCATTTTATTTTTGTTTCCTAAAATTGAAACTCTAAAATCAAACGTCAAACTTCAAACGGGTTTTCTTCTTCTTATCCTTAAATACCTGAACTCAGTCAGTCCCCATAACCTAACAATAATGAATTCTTCTCTTCTGCTTCTTCTTCTAACTCTTGAAGTCTTGTCTTGAACAATGAGTGTCAATGGTCTTGGAGTATATAATCAAGACTACTGTAAATGCATTTTTAATCATCTGTTAGTAGATTTTCCATATTTAAAGGAATGTTTTCAGTGTAAGGGAAGAACCCTGAAA